GTCCCAGCAATTATAAACCCGTTAGTCTTACATCAGTTGTGGGAAAAGTTTTGGAAAGTCTGTTAAAAGACTTTGCAAAGTCATTGCCTCACAAATATTTTGACATTCTTGACTGCTTATGTAGATGAGGGTAAGAGTGTAGAATTGGTGTATATGGATTTTCAGAAAGCATTTGACAAGATGACACATAAAAGGCTTGTAACAAAATTATCTCTATAGGTGTGGGGGATAAGTTAGCAAATTGGATATAAGAGTAGTTGGATGGAAGAAAGCAGAGGGTTGTTAGAAATGGAGTTCAGTCAAACTGGATTAATGTTACAAGTGGGGTACCTCAGGGATCAGTCTTAGGACTCTTACTCTTTTTGATTTACGTCAATGACATAGATGAATGAATGGTCAATAAATTACTTAAATTTGCAGATTATATTAAAATTTTTGGTGTTGCTAGCTGTGAAGGGAATGCTGCTGATTTACAAAAGGATTTAGATCATTTAGTGAGTTGGGAAAATAAATGGCAGATGGGTTTTAATTATAATAAATGCAAGTTAATGCATATGGGTTATCATAATTGGAAATATAAGTATTGTTACGTCGCTGGTCTTTAGTTAATTTTCCGTAAAAATTCTTTCCGAAGAAACTTTACATATACAAGTCCTTTCTTAAATAAAACTGGTTTATTCTTTCTGAATACAACTTTGCAATACACTTAATTTCCACAGTCGCGCTATAACAAACGCTATAATTCACAACAAACGTCTCACGTGCTCGACTCAACAATACGTCTCACTCTATCCGCAGTTCAATTACACACACTCCTGCCGTCAGTTCTTACCGGTCTTATATATACAAGAATACCGCATATCTAGTTACCTCCCGAGACTTCAGGAAGGGACGTGAACGTTCGAGAATATGACGTGTTACTATCGTCACGTGACCCCCGCTGTCGTAACAGTATAATTTGGATGGAACTAACCTTAACGGTGTCGTGAAAGAAGAGGATCTTGGTGTAATAGTTGATCAGTACATATATTAAGCCATCCAAACAGTGTGCTATTGCTAGTGGTAGGGCAAATAGGATTTTAAGTTGTATCTACAGAAATGTTGAATACAAGTCTAAAAGAGGTTATAATTTCATTGTACAGGTCACTGGTTAGGCCACATTTGGAATACTGTGTTTATACTTGGGCTCCTTACCTACCCCGCCAAAATTTACATTTATGTCTCCTAGTTCTACTGTTCTCGTTGTTAAATATGAAAAAAGATGATGCATCAACACTATCAATTTCCTTTACAATCTTAAACACCTTAATCAAATCCCCTAACTCTTCTTTTTTCAAGAGAAAACAATTTGAGAGATTTCAACTTCTCCTTGTATGACAACCCTTCCATCCCAGCATCATTCTAGTAACCCTTCTCTGAACCCTTTTCAACAACTCAATGTCTTTCCATAGGAGTCATATTCAGCTAATATTTTTTTATTTTTCTAACAGGGTGGTTGGCCTATGGAATAGGTTGTGGCGGCAGTAAATTTAAGTGAGTTTTAGAGAAAGCTTGATAAGTATATGAATTATAAGGGCTGGCTGTACCATTTTTTAAGTTATTTATTAATAGTTTTAGTTACTTTAGAGGATGGAACCGCTGAGATGGACCAATAGGTCCCATGTTGTCCCAAAAGGTTATGTTTTAATCTTTAAAAGGTAAGAAAATTCAAAGGTTCTAATTGCAAACGTTTAACATATAGCATGGTTACAAAAATACTGATAAAAATGTTGTTGAACATATTACAGGAGGAAGAGGTCGAATGCATCTGACCCTTCCTGACCTTCAAAACCTAAAACCTGACAAGGGAAGTGCGAACTTATTACCTAAATAGTATTAAAAAATAGCAAGAATATGGAAAAAAGTAATTAGAACAACTAAAACTGGATTTAGAAATATAACAAAAGAAAATAATAAACATAAGTTCGCCAAATAAGAAAATGAAAGCCTAGTACAATAACATAATAATCCAGGAAAATCATTATAGGAAGAATAATGGCTGGAGACGGCTTAAATGGGTAATGAAGAAAAACTTTAATATAAGTTTAACATGACAGCAAATGTACATTTGCTGTCATGTTAAACTTATATTAAAGTTTTTCTTCA